GGGTCTCTAAATATAGTAGCAACTGGTCAAATAATTTGGGGGAGAGTTGGTGGAGAAAACTAAGCAAGGGAATGATTGTGTTTTATTAAATTCTCTGGAAGCAATTAGCCTTACAGGATCTTCAGGTGTGCTGACTTCAGAGTCCAGGCCATTATTTCCTCACAGCTAATTTCTTAACACATGGGTTCATACAACAACTATGAGCTTGATGCCTACTATATGACTGGAGCTCTGGTAGGTGCTAGAGATAAGTGGTGAAAACATACTTTTCTTCTTTTTTTAAAAATGTTTATTTACTTTCTTAATTAAAAAAAAATTATGCTTATTTATTTGAGGAGGGGAGGGGCAAAGAGAGAAGGAGACACAGAATCTGAAGCAGGCTACAGGCTCTGAACTGTCAGCACAGAGCCCAACATGGGGCTTGAACCCACAACCTCTGAGATCATGACCTGAGCCTAAGTCGGATGCCCAACTGACTGAGCCACCCAGGTGCCCCATAATGTTTATTTATTTTTGAGAGAGAGAGAGAGAGAGAAAATGAGAGTTGGGGGTGTAGAGAGAGAAGGGACAGAGGATCTGAAGTAGGGTCCATGCTGACAGCGGAGATCCTGATGGGGGGCTCAAACCCACAAACTGTGAAATCACAACCTGAGCTGAAGTTGGATGCTTAACCGCTTAACAGACTGAGATACCCAGGCACCCCCCCCCCTTTTTTTTTACTTTTACAAATGAGTAATTACAATTGTGTAAATTCTGTGATGTCAAGCTGAAAGAAACCAGGACTTCGAATGAGCTTGGGTGGGCATGTTCTTATCGGTACACCTGGGTGGCATCGCTCAGGGACAGAGCAGGCGAGCTAAGGCTTGAAGAGTGACATGGAAGAGGGGCCGAACAAGGCATGGCCTGGAGTAGCCAGGATCTTGCTGGCCACACAAGTGGCATTTGGTTTGACCATGAATGCAGTAAGAATCCACAGAAAGGTTTAGGATCAGAGAGAGGTCTAGGATCAGAATCATAAGGTCTGGACTCTAGACCCAGCTCAACAGCTTAACCAGTCAGGTAGCCCTAAGAAAGCCACTGGGCCTCCCCAATTTCTGTCCTCTCATTTATGAAAGACTAACACAAATAGATTCAATCTTGAGGCTGGAGGGTACTCCAGATGTTGTTGTTGTTGTTGTTGTTGTTGTTGTTGAATCCAGCTCCCTCCTAGTTCTGAAGGAAAAAATCAAGTATTCTAATCCCCATTCTGTCTGCTTTGACTGAAGCAGTGATCAAAAGAAATAATGCATGCAAATACATTTTGTAAAATAAAGGATTATATATACCTAAGATGATATTATGACTATCAGTGTGATTATTTCTGACTTCTTCCATCCTGGCCACAGACTCACACATCTCAGTGTCCCTAAGTACCAAGACCAGAGAGAAAAATGGAGCCATGCCTGCATATACATATGTATGTATATACATCTGTGTCTGTGTCTCTTTATCTCATTATCTAGATCTGGAAAGAAAAGAGGAAAGAGAGTTGGAAGACTGGCTGCAGCTCTACAGCATTATTTACAGGGAGGGGGCACTCCTGGAAAAAGAAAAAACAATTGCTGCATCCCCATGGGAGCAGTGACCTAATCAAGATGTATAATTATCTGCCTTATCTAAATGAAAGCATCATTTGAGAAACAGTAATGGGCCTCGGTGTGGCTTCAATTGCTATATAGTTCTCAATTGCTATGGAGTTCTCATTTGCCATGGAGTTCAGCAGCTGAAGGGTAATTATAATGTTTAACAAATATATTCCCTTTAGGGACCTGATGTTAAAGACACAACATCTCTTCTCTCATCCTGCCAAATTACAGCTCTCAGGACCATTGCTATCTACCTCCCCAAATCATGAGTGCCTTTTCCTCTTTGGCTTCCCTTTCTGCTGGTCGGCTGCTCAGACCACATGGTTTCAGAGGGCATGGGAGAAATCAAGGTCAGGACCTCAAGGTGCACCTGCAGCTCATCTATAAATATATATGAGCCTTCCTGCTATCCCTCAGACCTTCCTAATGAACTCCAAGAAGGCTTGGGAGAATATGCTCTGTCTGCCAGGTCCCAGGCGATGCCAAGGTAAAACACTGTGCCGATGAAAACAGAGGTGAAAGGTAAAAGACTGTGCAGATCATTTTTAGGGTGAATCCCTAAAAGAGATCAGTGATACTCAGTTACTTCTCAGGACTATGAGACTAAAAAGTGGTGGTGCAGGGAGAGGGAATCCTGATTTTTTTCGTTCTTTCATAGGAACACTGAATACTCTTGACAGGCTTAGCAATGGCTCTCAGAATTAAATGATGCCTCTCTCAACCAAAAAATAAAAATATAAAAATGACTAGCTTTGGAAGAGGAAAGCCAAACCTGCATAAAAGTACTGCAGAGTGGCCAGTGCCTCAGTCCACACTGTGGCTTAGCACACGGCATGAGGTATGCTAGAAGAGGGAGATGGTGGGCATTGCTCCCAATGTTCTGCTGACTTTGGCAAGCACAGCCCTGCACACCTGTCCTTGTGTAGCGCCTCCCCCTCTAAGTCAGTCTGCTGAGTGTGTACTGTTTGAGGACAGGAGCCACACCTACCATATTTACCTTGTACCCCCCCATGGCTGGCCCTCATCCTAACCGTGCATTGTTGCTCATTAAGTGTTTGCAAAACAAATGCTAAATGGGGCAAAGAGGTGAGTAAATGTATTACTGTGAGCTGCCTGATGGCCTGTTCCGAGAACTGGCCTTTATATGGATGGTCACCGATGCCATCCCCTACCCCACGGAGTCAGCCATAATGAGCCCCAGGGGGGCGTGTTGCTGCTATACTTTAGCGATGAACTTGAAGGGTACCTTCCAGGGAGAGGAGGGAGGACCTGGGAGAAAGAGAAGTGTTCCAAGCAGGTGTAAGGCAGAGATGGCAACCATGTGGGCCATTCGCTGTGCTATCCAATGATGGAAGGCCCCCGTGGGCCCTTGATGCCTGGTGTGGGCACTCACTGGCTCGAGCACAGAAACCCACTCATGTGCCCACCTTAGATGCCTTGTGAGCTCACAGTAAATGATGGATGGATTGATTTGTGTATTGGGCCTTTTATTTATTTTGTCCAAAGTGACGGATGAATTTAGTAGAGAGGGGAGGAGAGAAGGGGCTTGGGTTTGGAGAACAGTCTGTCAGCTGCAGAGTGGCTGAGCCAGCTTCCAGTTATTAGCTCTGAAAATAAAATTTCTCTCCAGTCCTTACTCCTTTGTTGGGAGAATATTTTTTCCAACCACATTAATAAAAACCAATAATAACAAATGTGGCGAGTGGGACAGGAGCAGGAGGCGTTAGGGTAGGAAAAGTGAATGCAGCAAGGACTTCGTTTTACAGAATCAGTTCTGTGCCCCCTGAGCACTTTGATTAAAGCCATGGGACGTAAATCAAAGCTATTGAAAGGAAAAATAAAAAGATGTCTGAGAACAATTTGGTTTGCTGGAGTTTTCCCTCCTGTATTCCATTATGATGGGGAGGGTGAAAAAAAAAAAAAGAATCCTATTTGGACCTCTTTTGATCTTTCAAAGTAAAGAAGAACATTAGAGAAAGAAAAAGAAGAAAGGGAAATTGACACCAATCTTGTTTCCTTTCTTTTCTTCACTTGTGTCAATAACTCAACTGGAAATGAAGTAGGGTCTGAGCAGCTATTGAGTCCAGGCTTCTCACAAATAGAAACCAGGAGCTTGTAACAAAAGGGAGTTCAAAAGGCCAGTAGGTCACCAAGGACCCTCTCTCAGTCACAGATCCTGTCCCCTCCCCTGGTCCCCACGTAAAGCATGAGACAGAGGTCTTGGTTGCATGGTCAAGTCAGACCACGGTGGGAGGAATAGGTGATTGAGAGGACTTCAATTCATAGTTCCATCTTGAATGGATTCTCTGCAGAGCCACCTGCAGGAAGGGATGCTCCCTATGATGCAGGGCTGCTACGCTGATCTTGAAGAGGTGGCTGGAGGCAGTATTCAAATAAGACAAGGCTGCAAGCACTTGACTCATTTCTGGGCTGGGAACCTGTATAACTAGCATTCCTGTTCTCTGCAGAAAGCTCCTGCCCTTCTATACCAATCTCTTGCATCTTCAAAACTTCCTACAGGAATGGGGCACCTAGACTAAGAAATGAATACAAACACTAGAAGTTCAGGGATGAGAAGTAAGCTGCCACCTGCCTGCATAACTCTGACTGATTGGTAGTAACTGCCTGGAGGGCTATGTTAAGAGTGATTCTGAGGTCCAATGTGAATTTCATCTAAAAAAGTGTGGTGATCTATTAACTGATATAAATAGGGGTGGAAGAGGGGCGCCTGGGTGGCTTAGTCGGTTAAGCGTCCGACTTTCGCTTAGGTCATGATCTCGCGGTTGTGGGTTCGAGCCCCGCGTCGAGCTCTGTGCTGACTGCCAGCTCAGAGCCTGGAGCCTCTTTCGGTCTGTGACTCCCTCTCTCTCTGACCCTCCCCTGTTCACGCTGTGTGTCTCTCTCTCTCCTAGAAATAAATAAAAAAAAAACATTAAAAAAAAATAGGGGTGGAAGAAAGCACGGGTACCACATGCCATGGATATGCCATCCCTAGTACATTGACAAGAGCACCAGATGTGGAGTCAAAGGCCCATGATCCATGACCTTAGGAAAGACAATTTTCTGAGCCACAGGTGCCCTATCATTAGAAATAATACGAATGGCATGAAAATTGACATTTGTATATTGACTTTGCAATTTGTGAAACATGTTCAAGTATGTTATTTCTTTTTTATTATGGTAAATTATATAGCATAAAATTGACCGTTTTAACAAATTTGCAAGTGTACAGTTCAATGGCATTAAGTGCACTCACACTGCTCTGCAGTCCTCACCACCATCCCTCTCCAGAACATTTTCATCCTTCCAATCTGAGACTCCGTACACAGTAAGCACTAACGCCCCATTCTCCCCACCCTCCTGCCACCATTCTACTTTCTGTCCATAAGAATCTGACTACTCTGGGTATCTTATAAAAGTGGAACCACACAATATTTGTCCTTCTGTGTCTAGCTTATTTCACTGAATATAATATCCCCAAGGTTCATCCATGTTGTAGCAGGTATCAAAAATTCCTTCCTTTTAAAGGCTGAATACTACTCCATTATCTGTATACAGCATACTTTGTTTATCCATTCAGCTGTTAATGGACACTTGGGTTGTTTCCACCTTTTGGACATTGTGAATAATGCTTCTATGAGCACAGGTGTACAAATGATCTGTTTAAGTCTCTGCCTGCAATTCTTTTGGGTATATACCCAGAAGTAGAATTGCTGGATCATATGGTAGTTCTGTATTAATCTTTTGAGGAACCACCGTACTGTCACTATCTCTTCTAACATTTCAATACTTCATGGAATGCTTTATGGAGAGGTTGAAAGATCACAAGGAAACAAAGGCTGATGAAACTCCAGCTGAAGCTGGCCAGGTATGGCCCAGGCCTGGCCAAGAGCATGTGACAAACTCCCTTCCCTTGCTGCTGCTGCCCAGGCTGTGGTTGGCAGGCTGTTCTGCTCCAGCAGAGTGCCAGGAAGGAGAAACAACAGCTTGATCCCATCCGCCCTGCCACCCGCTGGTATGTGGAGGGCATGTGGTCCCTGAGCCAGGACCAGTGCACTAGCGGGAAAGAACATTCCACTCGTTGGCAATAATGTTTCCCTTGGCAGGGGGGAATGCTCAGATACTGCCTCTTGGAACAGAGACCCAGGCATGGGAAGGGTAAAGGGGAGGGAATGTTGGGGAAGGATGGGCAGCCATGGTGGGAGGAAGCCATTAGCATTTTTGTTGCGACATATTTATGTTCAGATCTTGTCATGTGGAGCAAATAACAGGATATTCTGATACAGATACTCAGCTTTCAAATAATGGGCTAAAAAGAAAGAAATGCTACTGCCTTTCTTTGTTCCACAAAGGCCTTGCAGCTGGCGAGATCAGAGCCAGCCCGCCAGAGTACAAAGCTTTGGAGTTCTTGTCCCCCTGTGACGGGGCAGCGATTTAATGCCAGCTCATAGCCATTAAGAGGCTGAGCTTCCTGGACACGTCCCATCCCAGAATGCCACTGGCATCTGGGAGTGATGATTAGCTTGAGGGTCTCTTTCCATCTTCATAAAGTTGTCTAGAAATCACTGGACTTAACAGGGCCCACTAAGGGTTATTTAGTCCACACTCCTGCCTAGAAGAGACCTTAGCAAAATCATCACAAACCGTAGGAATTTTTCACACTACCAAAAATTCCCATTCTGTGGTCTTGCTCTGGGGATGTGGAGAAAGGTGGTTTCTTTCCTCGCTGTCTTCATAGTTAAACGCTGTGGTTAAGCAGGCAGTCTCTGGGATTTGACAAACTCAGGTTGACTCTCAGGACTGACATTTACTAGTTTGTAAATTTAGGGAGTTACGACAATTACTACATTGCCTAATCCTCACATTCCTCATCTGTAAACTGGAGATAAACAAGAATGCCAGTCTTATCTCATTGAGCGATAGATATGAGGTGCCTGGCATGCAAGAGCACAATGTAAGCGATGAATGATATATCTTTCCCGGTGGAGCCACCACCTTGGGGAACATACCCAGAACCCCTTTCGATGGACGCCCACCTATGTGGCTATCCTTCCTCACACACGCCCTTTGGGGGCTCAGTTTCATCTCTCAAATGAAGGTCTGCATAAATTAATTTCTAGAATGCTCTATAGTTTCATGGATCTGCAATTCTGGGATTACAGCTGATGGGATACAAGTACCAGGAAGGGAAAGACGAGCATTCCCATGAGGCAGAGGGTAAAAATGGAGCCCAAAGATAGGGCTGTTGACATCCAGGCTGTAGAGGAGGCAGCAGCAGCAAGGAAATATTTCTTCTGCCAAGTCCTCTTAAATAGAAACCTGTATCACTAAGGCGATTGTCGAAACTCTATTCCTTTGAGAACTTAAAAACTGAGTTAGCAGAGCACACTGCAAGGAAGAAAGCTAGTGTCCTGCTGCCTCTCTCTCCTATCACTAATCACAGGAGGGAGCTTCCTTCAGCTTCCCAGTCCCCTGGGTGCCTCCCTATCTCTCAGGGAGCTTGGCGACTCCTGAAGAGGAACAGCTCCATTAGTTAGAAGCCGTGAACCTGTCTCAGAGATGACTGTCTGGTTACGGGGAGCTTCACACTGAGAGAATTTGGAAGAAATCTGTAATCCAAGGATGAACCCAGAGGAAATGGTGAGTCTGACCCCTTGCTCATTGTGCTCAGAGCCCTATAGGATACGGCTCAGTACCTGGAGGAGTCCTCACTTCTTTTCTCACTTTCTGGACTAAGAAGGCTGGTGTTTTAGAATAATAGGCCCTATGCTTTCTAGGCCTCAGGGTTTCCTACCTTCTCAAAGAGACAGAATTAAATAAGAAGTAATCTCTTTCTCTCCATCCAACCTCCAGCTTTCTAGGACATCAGGAGCCACCATTTGGGAAGTAGATGGATGGCTGGTATTCCAGAAAAGAGATTCCAACAAAGGGCCACTTACATTCACCTTGGAAAAATTTACTGGATAACAGTTGAGACTAGTTGACTGGATATGGAGATGAGAGCTTTAAATAAGCCAAGGAAGAGAGAGCGAAACTTACCTAGAAATGCAACCCTTGCTAAATGTGGCACTCTGCCTGTGGATATAGAGCAAGTCAGTAACTCCGTTGGCTGTGTGTAGGGCTGGAGACATACAGGTGTGGCGAGGGGCAGGGGCCAGGCCCTGGAGACTGCACAGACTCCCTTGCCTGGGACCAGACATTGCACAGGAAGCCAGGCTGGTGGTTCTGCACAGACCATGATCAAAGAGGCACTACGTGCTGCCTGCTTTGGTGTGGACCATACTGCCCTCAAGAAGGACTCAAGCACAAGTGGGTTGGGGGCAAGAAGGCAGGAAGGAAGGAGACATGGGAGGAAGAAGAAAGAGGGGTGGTGGTCTCAGGAAGAGAGGATGGAGGGTGGACTGGCAAGAGATGGGGCCTGCGGGAGTAAGTAGAGACGGATGAAGGGAACCACAGAGGAGCTGGAGAAACAAACAGGGAAGAAATTGTGGGGGAAGGAGGACCCAGCAATGCCCGCCCCCCCGCTGCCCCGCCACGTGCAGGGAATATCACAGATGGCTCGGTCTAGAGGGAGGACCCATCTGCCTGGGACCATGACCACATATGGAGGCAGCATGTCCCTGGAGAATGAGCATCCCTGGGGACCAGCACAGATAGGGGAGGAAGAAGTGAACAAAGGGATAAGTAGGGATGGAATGGCCACTGGGAGCCACGTCCTTCAACTGATATGAGTGCTCACAACAGACCCACAGTGCCAGCTTCTGTTTCGTAAGAAAGCCAAGAACCAGAGGCTAAAGGGCTGGGCCTCAGTCCGCTAGCAGGTAGTAGTGGAACTGGAACCCACCCAGGTCTGCTGGCCAGAGCCCTCCTCCCCTGCGACACCCTTCTGCAAGTGTTTCAGGCCCAACGGAAGACAGAGATCATGGAGGCGGCAGAGCTCACAGCAAGGAATTTCCTGTGATGATACAGAATGAGGAGAATTTTGAACGAGAGCCTTTGTGACTACTCTATTCTGGTTAGTTATTTTTTAAGTTAATGTGCAAAAACTATCTGATCAATCATTAAGGTGTGAGAGAAAAGAAAAGCAGCAGGGAGATACGGTGCCAGAAGGAGAGAGTAGAGGGGAGGGGAGGAGGGAGAGAAGGGGCTGCATCCATACTGGCCTTGCTTCCTGTCACTCTCCTTCCTGCCAGCGGCTCCGTGGGCCTGTCCTGAATCTAGACAAGCAGCTGTGTGAACCCGGGTCCAGCTGGCAGAGTGCCCCACTGACCTGGGGATCAGAGGAGGAGCGAGGGCCCTGCTCCCTCCTGCCACCCGCGCCCCTGCTCCAGCTGGCACATGGAGGGGTCCAGGGCTGGAACCTCAGTGGCAAGGGGCTGACAGCATGGCCCCCACCCGGCCATGTGGGCTCAGAGCACCTGTGCACAGGTGAGGCTTATCCTGCCTTGCTCAAGGACACATCGCTCTGCTCCGGGCACCATGCCCATCTCAGCTGCCGGTTGTAGACAAGGCCTGGGCTGAGAGGGGTTGACATACACGCATCTGCTGAGGAGCCAGGCGTAGCCCCAAAGGACTGCAGCCCGGTCCCCCAAACAGCAAGGTTGCCAGAGTGAAATCTGCAGTCGCCAACCCGGAGCCATGAGGTGACATTGGATTTCAAGCACTGACCTTGGGACCCTACACATCCCACTGTAGCTGGCATCTGCATTCACCTCACACGCCACTCTATAAATGCCTGCAGCTCTCAGTGCGACCTGGGGGGGCTTTCCTGGCAGTCCACATTTCCAACCCCTGCCCTGACTTCCTCTCCAGTTCCAGCTCTCATCTGGGTTATCTTCTTGGGTCTGTGGGCCTGATATGAGCCCCGCTGCTTGGAGAGGCCCAGAGTTTCTCCTGGTCCCTTAACAGGAGATAAGAGCATCCCAGCTCTCTGCCATTCAACCAAGGCAGCTCCTTTCAACTTCTGTCTTCCCCTCAGGCAAAATCAGCGGCAAAGACAGTGCTAAGCTGAGTGGCCTAAGCCCCTCCTTTGATTCCCAGGCCCCCAGAGCCACCCAGGTGCCAGCAACCTGCTAAGACAAAGCTCCAGACCCCTTGCTAGTACGGTGTGCATTTTCCCTTTCTCCCCAAAAATGACAGGAGCAGCTTCCAGAAGCAGGGTGAGCAGAGAATTCCAGAAGCCTGGTGAGAACAGGAGTAAATGTCCCTGACCCCTATTCCTCAGCCACCATCCGGAGGAGCCTTGCAAGGGGCACAGCTAGTGATCCCTGTGTCTCTGCTGATGGGAGAAGCCAGGGGGCTGTGTGGAAAGAATGGAAGAGCCCCAGGTGGATGCAACATTCACCAAAAAGAGCGAGCACCTACCCATGTTGACAGAGAAAAACTCCACCAG